CTAAATCTCCATATGAGATTTAGGGAGTGGAGTTGTTTTGGTCGTGAGAAAAATCCTGCAACTGGCAGGAATTGAACCCAGGACCCTGGGATTGGAAGGCAAGCATCTTAACCACCAAGCTATTCAACTCCACATATAAATATTAATATATTTATTTGTATATATATATATCTATATATTTATTTATATATACTGTATTCTGTATTATATTATATATACTGTAATTATTCATATATTCACTTATATATTTATTTGTATATTTATTTATATATATTTATGTATTTACATATTTATTTATATATTAATAAATATATAAATATATATATATACATATAAATATATATATACAAAAATATAAAAAATATATAAAAAATATAGGAACATATTAATATATATAAATAAATATACAAATAAATATACATATATATAAATATATGAACATATTAATATATAATATATATATATATAAATTCACAAATAAATATACAAACAATATATAAAAAATAATTTATATAAATATATATATAAACATATAAATATATAAATAAATATATATATAAACATATACATATATATATATAAATGAATATACAAATAAATATATATATATATATAAATATACAAAAAATATAAAAATATATAAATAAATAGAGTATATATAAAATAATATATATATATATATATATAAATATATAAATAAATACAGTGTATATATATATAAATATATCTGTATGTATGTATCTGTATATCTGTAATTGAACATCTATCAGCGCTGCATACTTTTGGATCGACATTCGAAAAAGTCAAAAGTATATGTACTGCACATGACTGGACTACACAGGCAAAGTTCCCCGGTGTGTTATTCATTTGCATCTACTAGGCCAAAGAATGTAAAATAGACAGTAGCATGACACCAATACAAACATAATCTATCTTACCCCTTGCTTGGTAGAAATTCTACCTTATAATTAATATTTTGCAAACATTTCAAATACAATAACATATTTGTACTAAAGACATTTTGAATTAAAAAAGGAATTTGTTCACACCACATTTTGCACCATCCCACAGAGTCATTTCTGGAAAGTCTGAAATACATTCAAGTGTGCCTAGTGAAGCAGTCCAGTGTAAAACTTAAAAAAAAAACCATTATTTTGTCTTCAATAATAAAGTATTGATTGTTATTCAATTGTGTGATTGACTGTGATGTTGTTAGCTCTTTTTTTACACCTAGCAGGTTTCGAATCCTAGACATTTATTAGGTGCATTACCTCTGTTTTTCATTGTGTTCACAGGTTTTGAAAAAAATGTAAAATAGACACAGTAATAAATAATATTACACCAATACAAACATAATTTATCTTACCACTTGCTTCTCCTGGGTTTGAAGATGGGTTTGGAATGTCTGAAATTTAATTTAACATTTTATTACTGGTAGAATATCTATATATAGACTCAAGAGTGGATCTGAGTTGACATATGGGTGGGGTGGTGGTCCCAGTTTTTTCATAAGAAAACCAAAAGAAAAAGGAGGGGGAGGGTGTTGGGTGCTCCAAAAGAAAAATTTTATTCCTAGATGGTCTAGGACTGAGGTGTCTTTTAATAACTTTTAAGTTCTTCAAAATTCAAGGTTTCCCCATCTTGATTCATAGATGGTGTAAAGCATGTGTATGGTTTCCCTCAACGTTAAAAGTAAATAGATATCATTGTTTGTTAAGTAATGAAGTCTAATTAAAATTCAATTTACCATTAATTAGTTAATTACCGCTGATTGGTACATCTTACCAGTGTGCAGATGCAAAGTACAAAAACTAATCTCATTAGAGAGGGCACACTTTATTGACAGTAACGTATACACAAAAGATGCGATCTACAACCTACAAATTTGTCTAGTAATGAAGAAGTCGTCGAGAAAATGGTAATCTCCTATGAGTAATGGTCTCTATTTCTCTATTTTTAATCCTTTCATGTAAAACTATAATTTACGCCAATACTTTTCCATGGTTTATAATATATATATAATAATGGAGTAATGCATATGCATTTTTTGTAAAAAAATTTTCTTTTACTGAAATTTTGCTGGAAATGGGGCTTAAAGTCAGAATTTCCCGTCCACTAACGAAGGCGAGAATGAAATTACTGATTTTAAGAGCAAGGGGTTTTGTGATGTCATGTCTCAATTTCAAATAAACTTTTCTTCAAATTATCTTTTATGTTTCATTGTATTCCATATTTTATGTTCACAGCCTTTAGTGCAAATTTTTCAAATGGAAAGCATTATAGTGAATTTATTTATATTATTTTATTTACATAAAAGAAAAAATAAACCTTCTGTTAGAGATTTCACAGCTTGATGTAGATTATGTGTCTTCAACTTGTCAATGAATGTATCCATGTTTTCTTCACAAATGACCATATTATGTTCTAGATCCATGATTAAACTCCATCTATCTGTGTGTTTGACCTTATACAGATGACAAAGCTTTTGTACATCACTTGGAGTGAGCGCCATTCCCAGCTTTACAAGTCTTTGCCGATGCAGTGTGAATGTTGTAATTACTTTCTTCCTGATATTTTTGGCAATTTGGAATGATGGCATTCTATTTTGAATTTCATGCCCCAGACCAAATTGCTTTGTTGCCATAATAGTATCATAGAGGAGAGTAAGGTCAGTTGGACTCAAACTTCCAAATGTTATCAGCATATTCATTAAGTCTATCGTCTTAGAAGAAATATATAATGCAAAAGTATCGTCTATATGGTCCCTGAATAATACTTTCAGCATACTGATGGGTATGCGTTCATCATACCAATTTGACACAACTAACATCAATTCTGCAAAAGTTGATTCTATGATGTAAACAAAAATAAAACATAATAATGAAAAAAGACAACCTTTTGAAACAGGTAAAAGTACTGTGTCCCATGGCAGTGTCTGGCTCATATGCTTGGTTGTACTAGTTTATATTTTATTTCCAATCTGCTGCAGACATGTCAATAGCCACAATCACTTCATTCATTTTTTTTTGTCTACATTTTTGGAGATGTCAACTAAGGTTGTCATAGTCAATGACGGCCACATGTTCTGCATTGCAGAATGGATAATAATTATATTTCTAAAATTTCTTGACCACAAAACAGCAGCAGCCCACTTTATAATGACCACAATAATGTTGATTTACATTATCTTAGTAAAGAAAACAACATTTAACTGCCTATGTGTCTTAAATTTTCATGTTTAGGCCTACAGAACGGGCAAAGATTGCTATTTGTTGCATGTTTGATGCAGAGGTTTCAACTACTAGAAGTGGTGTGCCATGACTGCCAAAATTTTGATAATTTAGGCTTTTTTAAAAAAAAAAAAAAAAAAAAAAAAAAAGCGAAAGGCTTCTTTTTAAGGTTTCATGGTAGATAACACTGGATGAAATTTCCGAAATTAATATAATATATGATATGATAAAACTTTAGTGTCACAATGATAAATACAGCTATGAGATATGATTTGGGAGGCTTGGAATGCGTGACTACACCAGTTGGTTGTGGAAGGGGGTTCAGGGGCGGAACCCTGGTTTGAGATCACATAATCAAGTGCTGGTTGTGACAATGAGCGAGCAAGACCACACGCGCCTCCTTTTATTAAGCTCTTGGTTGGCTGAGTTGAATTGATTCTCGAATGCAAGGGTGGCACCAGGATTTGCGAGGGGGGAGGGGAAGGTCCCTGGCGGGGTTGTGCCCAGACGGGGCGTGAATTTTCCCCAACGAAAGCAAAGTGGGCTTTAAGTCAAACTTCGATTAAAAGGTGTTGAAAGTGGTCAAGGGGGGGAATCCACCAAAAAGTTCACAATTTAGGGATTTCAAAGGCTGATTCAATCAAATTTAAAGTCTACTAATATGTAGAAAACACATAATTTTTTTTTCTCCCCAACGAATTGTGCTTTTTCTCCCAAATGGGTGGGCCAGCTCTTCCTGGCGCCCAACCCTGCTCGAACGAGAAAACGAAAGCTCTCTAATGACTCAAGTTACTGTATGACCGTTTTTACAGTTTCAATAAAACCATTTTCTTCTCATTTTATACACATGAATATGTAATAATTTTTTATCACGCATAGACTTGTGCTAAATACGTGACAAATTTATGATCACACATGTGTTTCTGCAAAATGCGTATTTCATAAAAAATCACATTGAAATGCAGGACCGTCCAACACGATGCGAGACAGTTGGTAACTATGAGTATACATCCAAAAATGTTCAGATAAATTTAACACGGACTGAAATTTAAAAATATTGAAATATTTTTCAAGTTTACCTTTACTTCTTCCCATGTTCGTTGTCATTTGTACAGCCACTACTACTTCAATCTTTAACTCCTGAAAATTAACATACAGTAAGCATATCAATGAAAGGACAGAAATTGTGAAATGAAAGCTTGTACTGCCTTGTCCAGTGGTATGATTCCAATCTTTAATCAACTTTGTTTTTGGTGATCCGCTCTCCAGCGGATCACCTCTTGTAATTGTCAGGATCATCATCTTTTTTCTTATTCTTCTTTATTTCTCCGTATTTTTGTTCGCACGATATCTCAATAATGCCACGAGTTACACACAAAAGATCGCGTCATCGATTAATTTAGCTTTGCCTGGAATAGTCATGGTGAGGTTTTTAAGGTGACCAGTCATACGTGACGTAATCTACGCGCAATTTTGCGTTTTTACATTATCAATCATATCAGCCTAACCAATTGCCATTTCAAAATCGTATTAAGTGAGCATTAACTTCGGGTTAATGTTGAATGTACTGTACCTTCATTTCACGCGTGCGCTTCATTACGCAAATTACGTGCAAATTTTTAAAATGTTCAAAATCACTTTTTTCCACTACGCACGCGCATTTTGATGCGCGCAGCACGTACAGAAGCTAGTAATTATGTTTTTTCACATAGTTTGGGTTCCTGACATTGTTTTCACAAATTTCCATTCTTTTTTGGTCATCTTATGACCAATAGCAATGCCGTACGTGCGCAATCAAATATAGGTATCTGCGCGGATTTGTGCCGATATACAGTGAAAATATGCTAAAATCAGGCCTATTTTTAATCAGTATAGCTCCTTAGGATGAAAGGTGACCCCCAATTTTTATTACATATTCTGAAAGCACATAAGTTGTAAATATGATTTTATAGATCATAATGGCCGATCGGACATTGTGACGTCATCATATTGGCATCTGAATTCAAAGAAAGTGATTCATAGCTATGACGTCATTTTTGAAAATACGCATTTGAACGTATCTCGCTTATCCTTGATCGATCGTCTTTGAGTATGTTATAGCTGAGACAATTCCCTTTCACATATTTGACTTCTTTTTACATTTTGATGACGTTATCATGGTCAAAAAAATGTTTTTAAGGGTCAAAGTACGGCGGATCACCAAACTCGTCTTTAGTGACGAGTTCAAATCTAGTTTACAATATTTTTCCATGACATACAACAAAATGCATTTTACTAATTTGAAAAGTCTGCCCAGTAGCAATATATCCAATGAAACTATGATCTTAAGTTAGATGGTGACTTTAAAAAAAATATATTATTATGTGCTAATTTAAGACCAACTGTGACCGGTAAGGGAATTACAGACGATCGGGCACACGAAACGATCGGCCCCAACAAGTGTGGAAGATCGGGCCCACCGATGTAGACTTTCGGGCCAATTTTCTAAACGGCGGGTAGACGTTTAGGCCCATTTTTCAAAAGACGATCTGGCCCATTTCCTCATGTATGAGGCGCCATATGGGCATTATCCCACACCCACTTGTTTGGAGTCGTCATCTATGCCGTGGTGTATGTCTATTTACAGGTAATTCAAGCACAATGATTTCGTTAATATTTTTCTTTTTTTCAGTTAAGAGGGAATGTGGATTCTATCAAAGCAATATAGCCGTTGAGACGGTCTATTATGCCTAAAATATAAATTGTTTGTTTGCCCTTCTTTTTTATAAATGATAAAAAGGGGCTGTTTGAAAAGAGTTTTTTTAACACATTTTTTTATATGTAAAGAACAAAGCAGAAAAAAAGTTTTCTTGCTTTGCCACCCTTATTTTTTTCTCAGGTAGGGGGGAAAGTGAGGAGGGCAAACAGACAAACCTATTTATACCTAGAACCCTATAGCAGACGTAACTGCATTATTTTCTGTTTTATCATTCATTTTTATTTATAATGAATGGTAAAACTGTACTTGAAGTTGTAAACTAAGGTAAGTTTCAGTGAATAATTAATAAATGTAATGTTTTGTGTTGTACAACTTGATATTCAATACAGATTACGTTTATTTGGGTGGTGGTAGCCTGCACCCATGGACTAACACACAATAATGTCTAAAAGTATACATGCAATTTATTTATGATAGCAGCCTAAATGTTTATTTGTTAGACAAATATTAAATAGTATGTACGGTATTATGTAGTTCAGTGTAGGTTAGTGTTATTTCATTGATGTCTTATTGCGTGTTTGAAATCCTCCCAGCAGACATACTGACGTTGGTTCGACGTCGAAATCAGGTTGGGACGTTGATCAACCTTAATGTTGCATTAACGTTGAAATTAGGTCATTCAACAACGAAAATTCACGTCTTGTCAACGTCGATTCTCATCGTTGATACAACATCGTGATGGTTGGTTCCACATTTTACACTGACGTTGAATCAACGTTGAAATTAGGTCAGTCGACTCAACAACCGGAATTCAACGTCTATTCAACGTCGATTTACGATGTAGATACGTCGCAATTTCACGTTGATTCAATGTTGAACAGTTGACGTTGAATCGACGTTGAAAATATGTCAGTCAGTGAACAACCAAATTCAACGTCATTACAACATCGTAAGGTGATGTTGGTTCCACGTTTTACACGGACGTTGAATCAATGTTGAAATTAGGTCAGTCGATTCAACCAGAATTCAACGTCAATTCTCGTCGTTGATACGTCGTGATGTGACGTTGGTTCCACGTTTTACATTGACGTTGAATCAACGTTAAAATTAGGTCAGTCGATTCAGCAACCGGAATTCAACGTCTGTTCAACATCGATTCTGTTCGTCAATACAAAGTCGCAATGTGGCGTTGTTTTAACGTTGCATAATGACGTTGAATCAACGTTAAATTTAGGTCAGTTGATTCAACAACCGGTATTCAACGTCTATTCAACATTGATTCTGTTCGTCGACACAACATCGCGTTGATTCAACGTTGAACACTGACGTCGAAACTATGTTAGTCACTGAGCAACCTAAATTCAAATCCTATTCAACGTCGATTCTTGTCGATACAACGTCGCAATGTGACTTTGGTTCCACGTTTTATACTGACGTTGAATCAATGTTGAAATTAGGTCAGTCGATTCAACAACCGAAATTCAACGTTGATACGTCGTGATGTGACGCGTACGGTGAAAAATCTAAGGGAGGGGTCGAAACGAAAACGCAGGGGGCAAGCTGAACTCGGAGGGATTTAGCGAAGCTTTCAGAACTCGCAGGGTGCGTTATTTGTGAGTGAAGCGAGCAACTAGACTGAAGCTAGGGGGCCGCAAAAGGGGAAAAATTTACGTTTTTACGTTCTAGTGCATTAAGTTCAATACCAAGTATGACAAAATAGGCCTAATTGTAAACGTAGTTTTTGGGCAACACCAGAC